GTTAAGATTCGACATCAGTGGATGAAAAGCACCACGTGAGTCGAAGAGGGAGTAACAAACATTTCGATTGTACATGTGCCCAATATGACGCCTAGTGCAGTAGTAAGTTTCACTCCGCAACTGTAGGCTCAAACCCACCAGCAGACCGTAGCTGCAGTGCGTAGAAAAGGACAGACCGCTGTAGTTAGGTTGAGTTGAGTGTTGATAAGATAGAGTGGACCTTAAGATTTGGTCTAAAACTTTGACAGGTGCATTATATTCTTCAGCAAATCCCTTGAGATTCATCCATGTCTTGCGCCGATTCTTGAAACCGCTGTTGCACAGCCATGCAAACTTGAATCTTGGCCGAATCATACAGTTGTGGACGCATTGGAGATGGTCCACTGCCACACATGGGAATGAGGATTCCTACTTCGCGCAACCATGTTTTTGCGACTTCCTTGATGGGCAGCCACTTGCTGCGTGAGCCAGCATGAATAGCCTTGGAGATTATGTTTAAGACATTTCTTTATCTTGGATGCCATTTCATTGACTTCGCTGTGGACGTTACTTGAGTGATCTTGTCAAACTTGTTTCGCACTCTTGTGCATGGTCTTCGCTTGGGCCAGTCAAGCGCCCTGCTCCCCTGAGACATACTTTCCCGGGAGCAGGCCACGCGTAGATGTGTACACAGACCCAGCCGGTGCACTAACTACTTCTAACTACGTAGTGTACAAAGGCCTTGGGCAGGCTACGTGAGACGAGCCCAATGAAGTTTCACAGGAGAAGTAATGAACTAATCACTTGTTGTTGAGATGTGGGCAAGAGGAATTGTTCATCACTCAAAGTATCCCTAGCTTCGGCAAACTTTGAGGCGGGGTACGAACAATTTTCTACTTTTACATGCCCACTTGATTTTCATGTTCACTTGAGTTGTCTACTTATCTATTTTGCTCCTGTAGTTGATGAGTGATTCTGCGCATGTTGAGGCCTCTGTGGACCAAGAAAAGTTGGTAGGAAGACATTCATGATAATTTCGATAGTTTCCACTGGTACCCCATAGTTGAGGTTCAGACTCATAATCTGATTCATGGCGCTACGGTGTCTTGGATCGTCAGCAATGTTACTGTCTGGGTTTTTGTCCAGTTGGCTCTTGACTGTTTCTTCTATGAGGACAGTATCGCTGCTTGTTGGGCCAGGTGCCATATAAAGGACGAATAATGTCGCCAGTGCAGCTACAAGGAGCAATTGCACCCATGGTTTAGTTACCGTTACTACGGCAGACGCAGCAGATTCAGCTGTTCCTGCCACAGAGGCAAGGACAGCAGCTTGAAGCTGTAGGTTTGAGGAGTATGTCCTGACCCGGATCGCGACGATCCGCGCCCTTTCTGTTTGGCCTGAGCCCTTCGCTTATTAGCGACATTGGATCTCCCGCGATGGGCTCGTTCAACCGTATGGCAGAAGTGGACAATCATTGGGGTTCTCCAACGTGGTCTCATCATAAGGTCACTAGATTGTAAAGAACGAACGTGACCGTTTTGTTTTCCGATAGTTACTACGGACATATCTATCCATTCCTTTTCCGCGTCATTCCACGCGGGTACCTGTGGGCGGAAGGGTGGCGTTGCCAATCCTTCCAGTTTCTTCATTTAGAAACCTTGGACTGTGTGAAGTCACGGCAGACTTATGCCAGTCCAGATAATACATGATGAGTGTATCATCCCCTGGCCCGAAGATGCCGCAAGAGCCGCGAGTGCGGCAAAGGGATCGGCGTTGCCGAAGACAAGCGGTGGTTCGCAAGTCTCCTTGTTGTTCACCGCCTTTTCATTGATCTTAGCGATCATAGCATCCAACATAGTTGTTGAGATAAAGCTTCGGCGGTCAGCGCGCCGTGGTTCATGTTGTGAGCGCGGTGGCGACCTCACCTTGGTGAGAAGCAAGCTTGCCAAGTTTGCAGACCATGACATCAACCTTGGACGCTAGTGCGTCTTTGAAGAATTCCTTGAGATCAGTCACAGTTTCATTAAAATTTGTGCATGTGAAGTTTTCTTCAAGGTTGATGATGGCAACGCATAGCTCAGACTGACTGAGACGCTTTACCCACTTGGGGTCATCGTTGCGTAAGAGCAAAGCATAGTCTGCTTCCTTGGTTCTTTGGTCGACCGGTTCTGAACAGGAAGCACTTGTGTGGCGACGGTCAGATCCATAGTTGGATACAAGACAATCACAGAGTCTTCATTCAGTCCGTATGCCAAAGATAAGTCTCGCTAGAACAAACTGGGACCTCCAGCAGCAGTCTTACCAGATTCCTTGCTCTTGCTTGCGAGGCAGAAAGAAGGTGTTCTGCGTCTCTGTCTGAGAAAGCAACTGGACAACTGTTGTGTGGTCGTCCTTGATACCCAGAAAGAAACTGGGAGAGCGAGACTAGCGTCAACTTAAGACGTCTGATGTCGTTCTCCCTTAGTAGGGATTCAAATAGGTCAAGCCTTTCCGTATTGAAGGCTACGGCCACATGTCCCGCGTTCCTCGTGAACACGCGAGGTGGGATTGTCCTAGCTTGAGACGTAATAATCCCTATCTGTGACGGCAGTAAAGATGCCATCAATGGCTACCAAAGCTCTGATTGCTCTACTCTTGCTCGCGAGGATTGAGGCAGAGCCCGGTGAGGCAGAGTTGTCCTCACCTTCAGGCTTAGTACCCTGGGCGTGCTGATAGGCCTGGTGTGCCTTATTAGCTGGGTAAGTTGGACAACCAAAAACCCTTCCTGGAGCTACGTTAGGCTCCACAGCAGTAGACTTGTGGATAGAATCTCGAGTACTACCATGGCCAAGCTGATACTGGCGGTATCATGCTTGTGTAGGCCAAGTCATGCTAGTCGCCATGAGGTTAGTTCGACGACCTCTAGTGATTGCGAAAACTGGTACCTTGTGTTGGGTGTATTGTTGTGCTGTTCTTGGCTTTGGAAGGGGTAAGGTCTTGGTTACCTCGTAGGAATTCCTCAAGTTCGTCCAAGTTCTACATTGACGCCAGCACTCAAACCAACTGTGGATCGGTGCCAGTGACTACACAAACAGAGGGCGTTGACGCTCCTCAGGTTGAGGAATTTTTCCTCACCCGGACTCAGCAGTCACAGACTATTCGTGCCTTGCAGGGAGTCATTGGAAAGAAGAATCACGACCTTCATGCAATTCGGAACTGGAGACTTATTGCTAATGCAGTGGGAAACATGTGCGTTCGACAGCGTACAAATGCTGGCCTGGTTCTTCGCAGGCCATGTGCCCACTGCGGTGATGAGACAGTTCTGATGCCTCAGATCCTGCAAGACATGTTGTACCCAACTCCTTCAACTGGAGGTTGAGGAGTGGCAAGCCAGGTCACCGGTTCTGGAAGAACCATGTGTGATATTCCTTCGTGTACGCTCTGCAGCTCAATGTTGCAGAGCGGGGGGAGTGCTTGTGTACAGGTGCAGCGCATGTAAACGCATTTGTTGATGCACTCAATCCGCAGCCTATCTTTGGTTTAGGAAGGTTTGTAGGGCAACTGAAAAGCCTTATCTACTTCCAATGTGTTAGAGCACAGTATAGTAGTTGTACAGGTTATTTCTTAAAAAGTAACACTGTAGTTTCTTTAGAAGCTCTACCCTCTTGTGTGCTCCGCTGTGCGGTAAAAAGAACGCCGTGCGCGCTCTCGCCTTGCCATGTCGTGCTGCAAAAACAAGAACTTCGCCTTTCCGCAAAACAGCATCTGCGTGCGGGAAAGCTTCCAAGCAAAGACTTTGCCATGACTTAAGCGGACGCCTGACCCTGTCTACAAAGAAGAGCCAACTCTGGATGCCCTTACACATCCCATCCACCAACACGAGCCCTCCGTCGGAAGTTTCCAACTGCTACCACCAAGAATATCCAAAAATTCCAATATAAACATATGGATCCGTTTAGACATCCTATCTACCGCTCAAGGCTTTAGCGCATTTCGCGGTTACGAAGAGTCTTATCCAACATTATTTTCCGCTGAGTAAACCGATAGATAGATGATGTGACCATGATGTGCCCCGGTCGTATCGATCCGTTTTACAGGGATCTTGAATGGAAACGAAAACTGATGTGACTAAAGCCTAAGGCTTTATTCATGCACGTTTTTGTTTAGAAATGTAATCCTGGCCGTTCCAAATCATCGCCCAAATGGGCGATGCTTTTCCAACACACCAACTATGCCGGCCTGTTTCCCAGACGCATTATTGAACTGCTGCACTGGTCAACATTCGGTTTCCATCGTTGGCCAGCCCAGACAACGAAAATCTGTTGTAATACCTTCCCAAAATTCCAAAACTTCACAAAACTTCACAACATGCCACACCTGCTCACCGACTGGTTCCATCGCCAGGGCTCGCTCGCCACTTCTTTGTTTGACGCCTGTTCTGGGCTTCTTGTCTGGCGGAGCCTCTTTGCGAGAGCCTGTTACAAAGTGGCCTTTTGAGGCGTCGGCGTGGGGTTCTTGCCCAAGGAACGGTGCCCGTTCGACCAGCTCTTGCACATTCAGCCGGCATGCAACGCAGGTCCCACGACCATGGCATGTTGCAGCTTTCTTCCAATCCTCCGAAACTCGCAGGCAGATCCTCCTACTTATGCCACCAGGAACGCTGTTGTGGGCTCATTGATGAAACCATGTAGACCTGAAACTCAGCCGAGGCCTGTTGAACTCCCGATGGGATAGGTTGCCTTCAGCAAAGAGCTGAGCAGATTGAAGCTTGGCAGGCCCTGCGCGAGATTAACGACAAGGTGGATGATCTTGTCAAAAAGCTGAGCGAGAAAGAGGACTGAAAGCGGTCAGCAGCGTCTTTGCAGATAGTCAAAGTGCCAATGCCAGGCTACCCCCGCACCGGTGCAGGTGCCAAGTGCTGCTGAGGCAGAACAGTGAAGATGTCCCGCCAGCCTATGTTCTCGCTGCAGCTGTTTGGTTGAGGCCATGATTCGGCACCTCAACGCCAGAGTTGACGGCCTTTCAGACAAGCTCAAAGAGGCAGCTAATTGGCTGATTGCCGTCGGTGGCGGGACGAATGTGTAGAATGCTATCCGCTGAGTCTTTATGTTGTCCTGTCATCTTCGTTTGAGCTTGTGCTGGGCCTGGGAGTCCGTAGGGGACCCTGTAGGGGTCTGGTTGTGCACTAGATTTTGTGAATCTCAAACAAGCCTAGTTCAGAAACCTGACAATGTGGTTGAGCGTTGCAGCTTTGTTTTCTCTGACAGATGGAATCCAAGAGCGCCAACGACACTGCAAGGACAAAGGCGCGGCAGAATGCCGCAAATCTGGGGGCCTCTTTAGCACTCAATTTGGGACCCGCCCTCACCCCTGGGCAGGCTTCGGACCTGCCCTCAGCTGGCCAGGCCAGCCTTTCAGCCTGCCTGGCAGTGTATGGCATGTGTGGAGCATGCGTGGAGCATGTGTGGAGCGTGTGAGGTTCAGCTGGTGAACGCCAAGGCTGACACGCAGCAGGCACAAAGTGGAGCCTGTGAAAGCCTTTCGGAGCTGAGGAAAAGGTTCAGCAGCTCAGCAGCCTTGGCTCTTGGCTCGTTCACCAGGCGATCCTTACAGCATCACTCGATGGCCGTGCAAAGATCCAGGGCAAGGCCACACCGCCCGCTTTTTCGCAGTTGCAGAACATCTCATTTCAAGTGATCTCAAGCGGGACCAAGCCTGGAGTCCTGCAGGTGGATGCATCCGACCATGCCAGGTGACCCCCGGTGGCAGTTCTTTTTGCATTTCGCAGTGCTCGCAATCTGCAACTCGCATTGGTCCAGGGGCGAGGTCTTGGATGCTTTCGACAGTTCCTTGGAGGGCGCCATGGCCAAGGCCCGATTACGGCTGACGAAGTTGACGTTGACGATGTAAGTTATGTGTGAGTTTCTTTGGAGGTTTATCGGTGAATCGATGGACTTAGGCTCGAGCAGGCCTGGAAGATGCCGAGGAGAAGGTTGCTGAGACTGCCAGTGACTCCGCTGCAGCCATGACTTCTGCTTGGACATGCAAGCACCGCGCACTTCCACTTGCCAAGGGCAGACAGTGGATGGCACGTTAGCACACGTCTTGAAGATGTCGATGGACAAGGTTATAGGCAGTTGGCTCTGCCAGTTGGCTGTTTGAGCTGGCTGCTACAGTGGCAAGGTGTTGGAATGGCAGCTGACTCGCTGAAGTCTGAGGCCTGTGTGTGCGTGGCCACATGGCCTATGCCTGTAAACACCTGCCAAAGGCAGAAACTTTACAAAGCAACGCTACGGCCGTGAAGGATCAGGCCCAAATAGTACCAGCATTTGGGCCTATCTGGCAACCAACGCATCCCTGGACCCTGGAGTTGCAGTGCTGCAGGTGACGGCAGACGCAGCATTGGGGCATGAAGCAGCAAGGAACTGATTTAACCAGCCTCTTGCGCTTGCAGCTGCTAGTAAAGCTGGGTCCTGAGGTTGATGGGCTGCCGTCGAGTTCAGCCTTGGCTGGCTTCTCCAGACCTGATATATACACGGACACAAAGAGTCAGCTGAGGTGGAGCAGAGACTGGCCCAAATCCAGGATGAAGTCCAGGACAGATTCCAAGTCAAGATGCTGTCCTTGCCCCGTGGCCCGCGGATCAGTGTTGCAGGACATGAGCCAGGAGGCAGAGATATCATGTGAAACTTCTCTCTCCCCTCACATAACTCGCTGCAAATGCGAGGCCAGAGGAGCAGAGACCCTGGCAGATTCCTCACTGCAGGCAGTGGAAGAGGCTCTGAAGGCCCAGGGAAGCAAGGGGTCAAGGGGGGCTTGGCCTTGCCATGTGTTTGAGGTGGTCAACCACTCCGCCTCCAAAGCTCGGCAGGAAACGGGACAAAGCAAAGCGCGAAATGCGATTAGAAAGAGTCGAATTCGACTTCGAATCGAAGGCCAGAGCGCTGCGGGGCCGCGCTGCCGAGCAGGACGGGGCCCTAGTGGGATCCCAGTCAAAGTGCGACACAGCGACGCGCAAAGAGCTGAAGATGCAAAAAGATGCAAAAGCTGAAGCTCGAAGCTGCAATGCGAAGCACAGAAATCACACGGTGAAAGTGGCAACGAAGCAGCCGCTCAGGTTGCCTTAAACAGCAAGCGGCTCCATGAGATTCGGCAGGCCTTGACTGGCGCTCTGCCCTGAGGATGCCATTGGCAATGTTGACATTCACTGAAGTGTGACTATCTGACTGACCCTGCCGTTGCTTACGAAGGCCTCGATGTGAGTCAAGAGCAGCCCTGCATGACCTGTGGTCTTCGCGTCAAATGGGCAGCATTGTGCACGTGGTCAAGTTTGCATGCAGGGCTTGCTGCTGCTCTTGATACTGAGTTTTTTGGCTTAGAGTCTTATGGCACAACCTTTCTCGCCCTTTTTTCTCTCAAGCTGTCAAACACAAATACTATAGTTCACGATGGCCGCTGAGCAGCATTACCTCTTAAAGCATGGCTGACACGGCGCACTCCTTTCAGGGCTTGGAGGGAGGAGGGGACGCAGCACTTGACCGACCAAGCATGGTGCTCTGCTGGCGAGCGAGTGCAGTTGCCCGAAATCGTAAGATGCTTCAAGATGGAAGGGACCTCAGCATGAACCAAGGACCGATGTCTGCCAGGCAGCCTGTTTCAAGAGTAGCTCCATGCTAGCCGCTAGCCTTCCTGGGATCAGGCCCCGACGCACCGCAGTGAAGAGTGCGGCCAAGAGGCCAAGAACATCTGTTCGGGACCAAGGCCATCGCTGAGAGTTGGGTGACAACACAAGCGGCTTAAGCGTAACTTCTGAAGCCATCGGCTTAAAGGACACATGGCGCACTGACAGTTCCCTGCGAACAAGAAGAAGCAGTTGAACGGAAAACATGGATGGAGAAGAATTTGTCGTTCCTTGGACATCGGCCGGGCAAAAAGTCCTCATCGGGCAATGGATGAGCCATGAACCGCTACTCCTCGTAGTGCTGTCCTGGAAATATTTTAATGAGCAGCGACTTGGACTTGGACCGCAGAGTTGGTGAACTTTTCTTTGCAAAAACGCTGGAGCTTTGCTTTTTCAGTGCCTTGGGCGTTAGGCGTTCGCTGAGGCTTCACGAGGCTTCTTCTGGAGAAGGGCTTCAGCGGCTCTGAGTCCCACGCCCTGCACCTCGGATACAACAACAAAGCCACACCAAGCATCGCCTGCATCGCCTGAAGCATCGCTTGAACCATGCTCCTGCAATGCTCCTGCAATGCTCCTGTTCTTCCGGGAGCCCTCTCATGGTGCACCAGGCCTCATCGCTCGCGCTGCTCCCGCCCCGCTGAGGCCCGGATGTCTGCCTGATGAATCAAAGCCATGTTTGGGTGGGAGTCAAAGGTCGACGTGGATGTACCTGACTTTAACAAGCTGCTGGAGGAGTTGGACCAAGAGGAGACCCTTTGGACTTGGCTTTGCAGAAAAGCAGTAGACTAAAGCAGTCGACTGGCAAGAGGCCCAAAGCACAACTGAGCAGGAAGGCAAGACCCGATCCGTGTCTTCGGAAAAGCCAGGAAAGCCGGAAGGCGAATCGAGAAAGGCCTGAGCATTTTTATGCCGTACATGGCAGCTGCCTTTTGCTGAAAGAGCCACATTTTTTTTCGAAAGAGGGGTTGGTTCTTTGTGAGACCAGGTGAAGCCAGACCGAATACTGCGCGGCACGAGCTTTGAGAAGCAGCTGGCTGCCGAGGCCAAGAAACCGAAAGTCCAAAGAACTTCAACACCAGCCCTGTGCAAACATGCTGATTTCATGAAGATGCTCAAAGGATGGGCACAGACTTGCATTAAGAAAAGAAGCCTTTGTTTCGGTCCTTGCAGGGTGGCCCGGAGCTGCGGCGCCGATGTGGGGAGGCAAAGAAAAAACTCTTAACTCTCTCTGATGGAGTGGTGGAGTGTCTGTGGAGCGCTTATTTTTTTTAGGCCTTCGAGAGCGTTGTGAAGGACTCCCTTCGCAAGGCGCCTTGCAGTTTGGAAGTCCGATAGCTTGTCTTGGAAGATCCACCCCAAGGAAGCCGAAACGACTTGCCGGGAAAAGCCTAGGCGCTGTTGGCTCAACAGTCAGAGATGACAGACACAGAGCTTGCACAACATTGCGGAGCATCAATGCGGAACTTTCCTTCAGGAGGGAGCGCAAAATCCCAAAGCAGCCAGAGCACTGGAACTTCAGCACCTTGGTCGCAGATGTGGACACTTGCCCCTGCATCTACATATCACCTTCTCATGAACGAGGCTTTAACGTGAATCGCGAGGCGCGCTCGGCCTGCAAAGCACGCCTCTTCCGAGCTATTTGTGCTGGTAGGTTGTAGGTGCTGAGCTACTCGAGCTTGATGCAGCACCTCAGCTGGTTGTTGTGCAAGACAAGTGAAGCATGTGTGTAGGCAGAATAGCTGAATGCGTTGTCCTCAAGGGATCGTGGGCCTTGAAGTGTGAATTTCACACGATCCGAGGCTCTGCAGGCACTTTCATGGCTTTGAGGAAAAGGGATCAAGCATGCCCAAACCAGAATAAGTTTCATCGCGGCGGGTGTCCGGTAACCAGAGCATCCATGCACTGATGGGCCCAATGCAAACCATGACAAGATTCATGTTCGAGTGCGTGCAGTCACCAGGGCATCGCACACTGCTTTGGGCATCGTGCTACCAAGTGGGCAGTGGGCGGTTCAGCCAAGGATGGCACGCCACAGCCACCCACGCAAGCCAGAATCTCAGAGAGTTTCCAAGCTTTGGAGTCAAGCTTTGCTTGATGACTTGGAAGGATCTTCGAGAGCTTCGGTCGAAAGGCCGTGGCAGGGCCGAGGCGCTGCCGGGCCTGCCGGGCCTCCAAACCGCTCGGCACAGAGCTCGGAAGCGGAAGTTGAACGATTTGTTGAAGGAAGAGAAAGGGCAAAAAGGCAAAAAAGGATTCTGCTGTCTTTGGGAGGCCGGAGCCAGGCCTTGCGAGGCCTGGCCTTGAGACTTTTCACATCTCACATTGTTAACGGGTTTTTGCTCTCGCATGTGCGAGGTTCCGGCCGATTCCGTGTCAGGAGAACGAGTGGATTGAAGGCCAAACATTGGGGCAAAGATCGGCCAGGTTGAGGCTTCGTCATAAAGAGCCGCAATCAGGTCTCAGGAAGATGGCTGAATCGCAGAGGCGGCAGCTGCAAGGTTGTGCACGCATTCTGAGCAGCGGGTCCCTCGCATATATCAATGTCTTTGTCGTGGTCTGTCGATGTTATCATTCGGGACTTGGCTTATTCTGGCTGAAAGGTGCAGAAATTAGGCCTTGCAGCGTTGCATTCCTTTTGTGCCCTTTCAGCAATCCGATATAAAGAGAGCCAGCTGAAATCCTACAGAAATCCTCAACAGCGCCATGGGCTGCGGCGGGTCCAAAGAGGTTACAGATGAGGAGCGTCTGGCCTTCCTTTCGAAGGTGGGCGTGGGGTTGAAGCTTTTTGCTTTTGTTGGTTTGCGGCCTCGGAGGTCGAGCTCTTCAAGCGGCTGCCGCGGGACGGGCCCATTGTTGAAGCTAAGCCAGCTATCCTTGTTGCAACCAGCTTTGCGGGCGTAAAACTGTCAAAGTGAGCCGAAAATCCGGTTTTCTTTCCCACGCTTCGTCTCACGAGGCTGAAGAACTGCGGCGTACAGTAATAGAAAGCAGGAAAGGGCAGCAGCACGCGAGCATCTCAGAAGAGGCCGAGACTTCTCAAGACGCAGATTCGGAGGTGAGCAGAAGGATGTTGTTTTTTTTTCTGGTTCGCGAATCGTGGATTTGAAAATGGAAGCTCAAGCAACCTGTTCGCCTTGGTGGTAATTGGCATCAACAGCCTTGTGGGCCAAGTGTCAGGACGAGCTGCCGGCATTGGCAAGAGCTGCCCAGGAAGTCTCGTTTGTCAAGGGCGGTGTGATAATCCAGCAGGGTGCTGAAGGCAGCCTAGTACGTTTGCTGTGTTGTATTCTGCAATCACTCGCGTCAACACTTTTGTGAAGGCCACGAGTTTTTCATCTTGAAGACAGGCACTGCAGGTAGGGGTCCAAAGATGTCGCACAACACAGGCAGCACTATGCAGCATTAACTGCTAACAAGGCGTTGATGTAAACGGGCATCGAGTCGCCACACTCAAGGCAGTGTGGCATGAGGAGAGAAAGCTGCTTTGAAAGTGGTCTTCTCCATAGCCACATGAGGCCGGCGACTACTTTGGAGAGAGCGCCTTGCTCCGTGAAACACCACGAACTGCCACCATCACAGTGCGTCGCCTACGGCCAGAAGTGTAGAGCAGCTTCGCAGATGGTCTGACTAGGCTGCTTGCAGTTATCCAGGAGAAAAGCCTGGTTTCCCGAGGCCTCAAGTCCAATCAAGGCACTGCTTCTTGGATACAATTTGCTTTTGCCCGCTCTTCTTGTTTCCCATCATCTCTTTAGCAAAAGCTCAGGAAAATCACGCGGGAGGCTTTGAGGCCTGCAATTTCGGAACGGCTCTACGGCTCTGCCTGCTTCAGGCGTTTGTCCAGCTCGGGCTCCACACGAAGCTGGAGTTTGGAAAGCGAGGCCTCTGGGTGCTTGGAGCCCGGAGCCTGGAGGAGAGCCGCCAGTTAGCCGCCAGGTGCGGTGGGTGGAGGCGGTCAGGTCGCTGAAATCAAGGCTCCAAGCCAGAAGAGCGAAGAAGTGACTTGCCGGCACGTGGCCTAACCTACACACAAGTCACAAGGCTCCACGGAAGAGTAGTGTGTAGAATGCTGTCCAGTGCTGTGTGTTGAGGAAAAAGAGCTAATCGTCTGAGCCTCGGCTCAGTCAGCTCCAAGCACGCTCTGAGAGTGTTCTCGCTCTGCCAGCTCTGCTCTGGCAGGCCAGAGCTCTGAAAAGCAACTCGAACTTGAATTTGATTGCCAATCTGGATGAAGAGAAGTGCGTTGCCCAGGGTAAGATCTCCAAGAGATTGCTGCGTAGGTGGCTTTGTGCAGCGATGGCGGGTCTGAGGATCCGGGCCATGGTGAACGTGATGTGGAAGGAAACAGTGCCCAAAGGCGCTGGCCCTAGAAAGAAAAATTAAACGATTTTCTCTACTTCTTCAAGTACTCTTCAAGCCTCCTCCTCCCTCTTCTTGCGTCAAGGCAGGCAGCAGGCATGGATGAAAAGAGTTGACAATGAGCCGTGCAGCCGCTTAGAGTGTCCCCTGGGCTGCTCTTCCTGCCGCCAAACCAGCACCAAACATGCATGCATGTGTTCCACAGTTCCACATGTCATGCAAACGTGAAATCTCGAAAATCTTCGAGGTTTCAGGGCAGGCAAGGGGAGTAGGAAGATGGGGGAAGGAGGAATTGACCTGGAGCGAAGGCATTGACATCGGGAAATCGGGACAAATCGGAGGGACTTTGCAATCACTCGTGCAGAGATTGTTTTGGGTTCTCAACCGAGGCGGGTGTCTTATCCAGCAGGGTGACCTACAGGATGGGGAGTCTGCGCAGCCTCTGGCAACAACTTATACAATGTGTACCAGGCGGACTATTTCTACGTGGTCCAGTCTGGCAGCTTCCAAGTTTCCAAAACGGACAGCGCCAGCGCTGAGAAGTGCCCTGGGCTCTTGCAGTAAGTCATAACTATTCAGCCTTGACTTGTTTGAAAGGAAACGGGACTGTTTACAATGGCGGCTTCGTACATGTGCACGTGCACAGCAGGGCGGCTTCTGCAGACCTGGGCACCATCGAGGCAAAAGCCGGTGGAGTGGTTATTTGGTCTG